AAAAAAAAACCAATACTTAAATATCATATTTTTGCAATCAAATAATATTATTGAAATAAATTTTTTTTTAATATATATTTTAGTTACTTGAAGGGAGCAACATTTTAAAATCTTGCACAAGTCACATAAAATCTCAGGACAGGCTCTAGAAGCAGGTAAAGATTGTTGTTCATAATCTTGAGTACATGTCTAGTGACGCCCATTCAGCTTAGCCCCTTGACCATATTAACCACTGTTAATGCCCAGTTGTGGCCAACACGAACTTTATTGTAAGTATTTAGTCTCGCAGGTCTTTTTGTGAATATTTTTTACTTGAAAGTTAATTATGATTCGTTAGTTTTTGTGTGTCTATTCATATAATGTAAGTTTAGAATTTTGCTAGAGTGACCTTCAAGCACCCAGCCAATAAGTGGGCGCATGTAGTGACAAGGCCCATGTGGCCCAAGACGAATAGCAAAACTCTTACGTTTATGGGTATTCGAATGGTGCACCCTCTCGCTTTTCTTGCATGGTGTAAGAAATACAGGCGTGGTTTGGTGATATTGGAATATTGAAAAACTTACAATTAATTTTTGTAGGAAAGGGGGACCAGAGGAATGAAAAATGATGTTCACCAACCTCTCTTTCAAATATTTATGTTTTTGCTGGAATTTGTTGTTATAATTTATTACTCATATCAAATTCTATGTTCTCATACTTTGTGTGAAGGCATTTAATATGAATTCAAAGATGTCGACAAAGTATTGAAACAAACCGAAATAGAATAAACGATGAGTGGACAAATAATCCTATGTGTGTTGCTAGGTCGCGTGTATTTTTGGACATGACGAGAAGATCTCATCATCTTCTCGTCATGTCTAACGTGCTCTCATCTTTTACCTGTTAATACCTCCCTCTCAAGTGGACACTTGTCCCCAAGGTCCACACCTGGAGGCTGCTTCTAGATGTCTTTCTGGGTATTGATCACTTGCACTTGCTTTGTCTTCAGGTGGGTTTCCCTCTATGACCTCTTCACAAGTAATGTTGCTCGTGTTTGTACACCCCTCCAGCAGTAATATTTGTGATTTTTGACACTTGTGACTGATAAGTGTATTTTATATACTTATTTAAAGCTTTAAAATGATGATATTTAGGTGCTTCTCGAATGGATTATGGTCTAACTTATTACATTTTGTGTTGAATAGGTAAAATTCAATGATGGTACAAGGAATTGAAGGAAGAAGCAAAAGTGGAAATGGCTAAGTTGTGAGAGATCCAAAGTTCGGGAACTAAAGTGAAAATACTCAATAGTTGTGTTGGATTTCATGATAAAGATTCAAGAGTGTTCGGAGCCAATTGGATGAAGATGTCAAAGGGATAAAATTTAGGCAAAATATGATCAAAAATCAATTTCCAACTGAAAAGTTATGCTCCGAAATTTTAGTCTCACATTAAGACCCATTTTTGACATAGCAAACGATTGAATTGGAGAATAATGTCTGAATTAAAGTTGTAACCCTTTAAGTTATCTTTCCAACAAAACTTGAATCACCTCAATCTAATACTGAAACAAAAAGTTATGACAAAAATACTGAACGAGGTGCTGTTTGTCCGAAAAGTGGCGTCGGGCGCTGCGGCACTGGGAGAATCAGAGAGGTGGCGCCACTTATTCTTGACGCAGCACTACGGTGCAGCATTCCAGGTACCACGGCGCCACCAATCCATAACCTAAGTGGAATTTCGGCTCACTTTGGAGTCCTGATGAAAACCCTACCTTCTACACATGACAAGGCACATATAAAAGCAAGTTTTCTCAGATTTGAGAGGGATTCCACACATTAAGAGGTAAGAAACACATCTTGGGAGAGAAAATGAGAAATTCAAAGGGAGAAAACAACGATAAATTCATC